TATTTTTAATATTTAGCGTAAAGAAAGGTATTGTCACAAAAAACGAAAAGTTCGAAATTGATCTATATTGGTCCTCAATTAGGCATAGCACCTTATATTTGGACAATAACTCCAAATGTTCAGTAATTTTTACACGATGTTATGAATATTGGTTCCGCTTTAGGCATAGCACCCAGGGACGTACACATACAAAAACCAGTAAGGAAAGTAGTAAAGTCGGACGGGGCCGACTATATGATACCCTTCACCACTGTGGGTATATTAAACAGGACTATTAACATGAAATTGGATGAAATAAAATATGTGATATTTATCTAAATGTGAATCTAACTAGATCTATCCATTAACATGTCATTCGTTTGTTACAATGGGACAAAAGTATGTAAACCGAATTCATACAAATATCAATAGGTCATCCGTTAGGCTATGTCTGTACTTCTAGAAAACGCAACTACGTAATTACATGCTCAATTTTGTACGTTGTGCAAAAATTGATGTCAATCTGACTAACATGAGGAACTTGGCACACATCATTCGGGACTAAATTTATATATGGGAGCTATATCTAAATTTGGACCTATTTTCTCGAAACTTGCAGACGAAACTATATATGGGAGCTATATCTATATTTGGACCGATTTTCTCGAAACATGGCTCAATTCAGTACGTTATGTCAAATTTGGTTCAAATCGAAAGATATATAGGGACTTTGGTGCACAATTTTCTTGAAATCGGACGAAACTATATATGGGACCTATGTCTAAATATGGACCAATTTTCTCGAAACTTAGCACACATCATTCTGGACCTAATTCAGTACTCTGTGCCAAATTTCGTGCAAATCGAAATATATATAGGGACTTTGGTGCACCATGAACCACATGAAATCGGACGAAACTATATATGGGAGCTATATCTAAATTTGGGCCGATTTTCACGAAACATACCAGACATCATTCTAGACTCAATTCAGTACGTTATGCTAAATTTCGTGCAAATCGAAAGATATATAGGGACTTTGGTGCACCATTTACATGAAATCGGACGAAACTATATATGGGAGCTATATCTTAATCTGGACCGATTTTCACGAGACTTGGCAGATATCACTCTAGGCTCAATTCAGTAGGTAATGCTAAATTTCGTGCAAATCGAAAGATATATAGGGATTATGGTGCACCATTTACATGAAATCGGACGAAACTATATATGGGAGCTATATCTAAATCTTGACCGATTTTCTCGAAACTTGGCACACATCACTCTAGGCTCAATTCAGTACGTTATGTCAAATTTCGTGCAAATCGAAGGATATATAGGGACTTTGGTGCACCATTTACATGAAATTGGACAAAACTATATATGGGAGCTATATCTAAATCTGGACCGATTTTCTCGAAACTTGGCAGACATCACTCTAGGCTCAATTCAGTACGTTATGCCAAATTTCGTGCAAATCGAAATATATATAGGGACTTTGGTGCACAATTTACATGAAATCGGACGAAACTATATATGGGAGCTATATCTAAATCTGGACCGATTTTCTCGAAACTTGGCAGACATCACTCTAGGCTCAATTCAGTACGTTATGCCAAATTTCGTGCAAATCGAAATATATATAGGGACTTTGGTGCACAATTTACATGAAATCGGACGAAACTATATATGGGAGCTATATCTAAATCTAGACCGATTTTCACGAAACTTGGCAGACATCATTCTAGACCTAAATGATTAGGCTGTACCAAATTTCGTGCAAATCGGAAGATATATTGGGACCGTTTACATTAAATCGGTTAAATATATATATGGGAGCTATATCTAAATCTGGACCGATTTTTCCCAATTTCAATAGGGTTCGTCCTTGGGCCAAACAAATGGGCTGTGCCGAATTTCATCCAATTCGGATCATAAATGCGACCTGTACTTTGCTCACAAAAATACATGGACAGACAGACAGACAGACGGACGGACATGCATAAATCGACTTAAAAAGTGATTCTATGCATATTCTCAAAAGGAACCATGGGTCTATCTCGTTTCCTTTTGCCTGTTACAAACATATGCACAAAGACATAATACCCTGTACCACAGTGTGGTGAAGGGTATAAAAATCTGAAAATGTTCATATATGGAAATTCGGAAGAGAATTTAGATTATCTGAAAGAAATCGGACCAAATTCCGTGTAAAAAGTTTGAATATATTTTCTGAAAAAATATACTAGGGATTTCGACATTTTTTCAAAACACATTTAATCACGCTTTTGTTTCCACTGCTGAACAACATCTATAAAATATAAAAAATTCCAAACCGTTACACTGATTTTTCAAATTTGTTCATTTCAAAACACATTTCTTAAGTAAAACAAAAGAGCACTATTCAGAACTGACATGACTTGGAAAAAGTTCGTAAAAGAAAATATAAAATTATGTATAGTTCTGGAATTTATAAACAATTGTTCATACCTTGAATTTGGTTTAGGAAAAAAAGTTCATAAAAGGAAATAAAAAATTATGAATAGTTCTAAAATTTAGGAACAATTATTTAATTCTTTGATGTAGGCACATCCTCCTATTAGAGATAAAGAAGGAAACCTGGCGACAGATACAGACAGTGTGCAGAGGATCTGGTATCAAATAGTAGAAGTGAAGTGGATACCTCAGAACCAATAATAGATGACGGTATAGAGTGTATACCACCTAGCCAAGACGAAGTCAGAATAGCAATCAATAAGCTGAAGAATAATAAAGCAGCTGGCGCCGATGGGTTACAAGCCGAACTATTCAAGACTTGTGGTCAGATGCTGGTAAGGAGCATGTATCAGCTGATTACTACAATTTGGCTAGAGGAATGCATGCCCTATGATTGGAACCTCAGCACAAAAAAGGAGATAAGACGATATGTGCCAACTATAGAGGAATAAGTCTCCTTCCCATCGCATATAAAGTGCTATCCAGCGTACTGTGTGAACGACTGAAGGTAATGGTCAATGACATTATTGGACCATACCAATGTGGCTTCAGACCTGGCATATTGACCAGATTTTCACTCTGCGCCAAATCTTGGAAAAAAAACACGAAAAACACATCGAAACATTCCATCTATTCGTCGACTATAAAACCGCATTCGACAGCCCAATCCGTTCAGAGGTATATAAAGCCATGTCTGCGTTTGGCATTCCTGCAAAATTAATTCGGCTATTAAATTAAATTCGGAAAGGACCTCTCGGAGCCCTTTAATACCGAACGAGGATTCAGACAAGGTGACAGTTTGTCTTGTGGTCTTTTTAACATCCTGCTGGAAAAGGTCATACGAGAGGCAAAAGTGAACAGAAATGACACTTTGTACACCAAACAACACATGTTACTTGCCCACGCCGATGACATCGACAGATATTCACTCTGCGCCAAATCCTGGAAAAAAACCCACGAAAAACACATCAACACATTCCATCTATTCGTCGACTATAAAGCCGCATTCGACAGCCCTATCCGTTCAGAGGTATATAAAGCCATGTCTGCGTTTGCCATTCCTCTAAAATGAATTCGGCTATGCAGGATAACTTTAACAGGCACAATATCAGCAGTTTAAGTCGGAAAGGACCTCTCGGAGCCCTTTAATACCGAACTAAGATTCAGACAAGGTGACAAGTTTGTCGTGTGACCTTTTTAACATCCTGCTGGAAAAGGTCATACGAGAGGCAAAAGTGAACAGAAATGGTACTATGTACACCAAACAACACATGTTACTCGCCTACGCCGATGACATCGAAATAATAGGTCGAACATTGAGAGCGGTAACAGCCACCTTTGAACAAATTGAGAAGGAGTCTGCCAAAGTGGGTCTGGCAGTAAATGGCGAGAAGACCAAGCTGATGGTATCAACGCGCAAGACGTCCATTAGACTCGGACCAACTGTGGAACTTGAGAATTACAGCTTCGAGGTAGTCAAAGATTTTATAAACCTTGGTACCGCCATAAATAAAACGAATGACATCGGTTTAGAAATTCGGAGAAGGATAGTGATGGCCAGTAGATGCTACTATGGTCTGGGCAAACAACTCAAAAGCAAGGCCACCTCCTCCGTCAGACCAAACTCACACTCTACAAGACGCTGATACTACCCGTGGTGTTATACGGATCTGAAGCATGGGTACTTGCGCAAGCAGATGAGACAGCTCTTGGAGTGTTTGAGAGCAAAAAATTCTCCGAAAGATCTATGGGCCGATCTGCGTTGATGGTGAATATCGCCGTCGAATGAACCATGAGCTGTAGCAGCTATTCTCTGACATCGGAAATGTTGGACGTATTGAGCTATAGCGACTACGTTGGCTAGGTCATGTTGTGAGAATGGATGAAGATTCTCCAGCCCAGAAGACATATAAAAGCGAACCAGCTGATGGTTCATGCAGAAGGGGAAGGCCAAAAATACGTTGGAAAGATCAAGTCGAAGACCACATCGCCAAAAATGGTCTTTCAAATTGGAAAAACTGCGCAAAAGACTGACGCGCCTGGAAATCTTTTCTAAGCTCGGCTTATGGAACGAAAGTTCGGTCACAAGCCAGCTAAGTAAGTTAATTGTAGAAAAATGTTCTTCGAGCTGCAGATTTATTGGAAAAAATAAACACAAAATTTTTTTTTAAATATAAATTTATTTTATTTCTTTCACTATCACTAAAGCTAAGGGGAATACTTGGCAAGCGGGACAGAAGACAAAAGAGAAATTAAAACTAAAAATTACAGCTACTTTTTTAAAACTATCATTTGTATCACAGTTTGAAATGTTGTGGAAGAAGAAGAAGATGAAAAAAACAGTACATAAAAATAATTAAAGCGTTTAAATAACTAAACCTAGTAATAAATGTCAATTTAAGGAGGAAGTTTTAAAGCTAAACTAATTATCTTGATAGGAGGATGGAAGGAAGGGGACATTGCACGTTGGACTATTCCGTTGGACTGTTATGTGGCTGTCGGGAATGCTTGTTGCTTGTGTGCCTTTAAAACGGTCTCAAGGTGGACAGTAGAGGCTGCTGGGCTGGCGGAAATCCAGTGGAAGCGGTCGTTGGTACGGAATTGTGAACTGTGGATAACATCCGAATGCCAGCCGATAAAGTGGTGGATGGCATGTAAGGAATGCTGCTGATGCTGGTCGATGGGACATTTACACCATGATAAAGACTGTTACCGTTGCTGCCAACACCAGCCGTTGAAGGTAAACGGGAAATGGTATTCAGCAGCAGACTTTGGGCCGTTATGGCCGATGAAGATGAGGCAGCGGCTGCTGCAACTGAGGCGGCGGATATTGATGATTTCGTTTCAGCCGATGATGAGGATGATGTTATTGAACTGTTGGCCATCGCAGAAGAAGCTACAGCTCCAGCAGATGATGGTGTTGAAAACTGTGTCATTTGTAACGGTCGATATTGACATTTTTTGGCATGCGTTCGCATATTACTCGATTGTGTAAAGGCCTGATTGCAATTCGGATGTGGACAGACATAGGGCTTACAACCGGTATGATAGTTCAAGTGTGTCTTCAGATGATGTTTCTTGGTGAATGCCTTCGGGCAGATGGGACAATTGAATGGCTTGATACCCGAATGCAGCCTATGATGTAGTGTCATATTACTACGATCGGCAAATGATTTACCGCACACCGAACATTGATAAGGTTTTTCTCCGCTGTGTGTGCGCATGTGTTGCTTCAGTAGCATTTTACGCGAGAAACGTTTACCACATTCGGCACATTTGTGCGGCTTTACACCCGTGTGTATGCGTACATGCATATTAAAGGCAACACGTTGATTAAAGGACTTCGGACAATAGGGACATTCGTATTCCTTTTTATTGCGATGAATTTTCATGTGGCTGCTTAGGTAGCCTTTGTCGTTGAAGGTCTTGCCACATTCGGGGCATTCCGCTGCAAATTCTTTGGTTCCACGATGCACGGAGAGATGGTATTTGTAGTTCCGCAATTGGGAGAAACCTTTGCCGCAATCGGTGCATTCATAGCGTGGTGATTTGTGGGTTTTTTCATGGGCCTGGAAAGGAAAGAAGAAAGAGGGAAATTATTAATAAAATTTTCAGGAAGGCGTGGATTTTTTAAAACATATTTTAGAGGGTTTTAAAGAGGCGTGGATTTTTTAAAACATATTTTAGAGGGTCTTAAAGAGGCGTGGATTTTTTAAAACATATTTTAGAGGGTCTTGAAGAGGCGTGGATTTTTTAAGGAATATTTTTTAGAGTTACCACAAAGGAGTCGATCATCTAGAATATTTTTTAGAGTTACCACAAAGGAGTCGATCATCTAGAATATTTCTAGAGGGATCATAAAAGGCGTCGATGTTCGAGAATTTTTTTACAGGGTCAATAAGAGGCAATGATTTTAAAAAGGCGTGGGTTTTTTAAATAATATTAGAGGGTCCACAAAAGGCGTCGACTTTTAAAAATCAATAAGAGGCGATGAATTTCTAAAGAATATTTTTTAAGGGTCTATAAGAGGCGTGGCTTTTTAAAGGATATTTTTTTGGGACTAATAGAAGAAGTGGATTATTGAAAGAATATTTTTGAGGCCATCTATAAGAGGTGTGGATATTTTAAAGAATATTTTTAAGCGGCTCATAAAGGGTAAACATTTTTTTAAGAATATTTTTAGAGGGTCTATAAAGGGCTCGGAATTGCTTGAAGAATATTTTTAAGGATCTGTACAATGCATGAATGTTTTAAATGAATATTTTTTAGAGGTACCCAATGGAAGTTCAAACATTTTTATATTTTTAGAAACTCGGAGTTTTCTAGAGAACATTTTTAGATGTACTCAATCGATGCTCAGATTTTTTAATGGAATATTTTTAGAGGTAACAAATCAAATCTCGGATTTTAGAGGTGCCCAATCGTAGCTCAGATTTGTTTATGTTTTTACCTCTATAAACATAAAATAAAGCTCAGATTTTTAACGAAATATTTTTAGAGGTACTCAATCGAAGCTCAGATTTTTTCAAATATATTTTTAGAGTTACAGAATCGAGGCTCGAGTGTTGTATATTTTTACAGGTATCCAAACGAAAATCGGATATATTAATGAATGTCTTTGTAGGTACCAAACCGAGACCTATTTTTTAAATAGTTTTAAATGTACCCAATGGAAACTCGGATTTTTTAAAGAATATTTTTACAAGTAACTAATCGAAGCTCGAGTTGTTTTTAAATATTTTAGAGGTAACCAACCGATGTTCGAATTTCTCAAAAATACCAAACCACTTTAGTGGGTACTTAAGGGGGATTTCTCTACTCCTAGAGAATACATAGGTAACCCCTAGAGATTCCTTGATGATACTCCGCATTTGCATAGCTTCAAGAACTCGGAACTGATAAATTACCGTCTCCTCGACGAGAATGTGCCGTTAAAACCATCAAAATACGGAGGTCGGTACTATAATATGGAGGCTATACGAATACGTTGGCCGATATTGACAATTTTTCTGCAGAAATGTTAATCAGCCCCTAAGAGCCTCGGAGAAAATGAGCTGTGAAAATGCGGCTAAAACCATGCGAACCTTTTTATGGAGGATAAGTCAAAACCTGTGCCAATATTGATCATTTTCTGCATAGATATATGTAACCTTGCAAAAACCCCAAATGCCGATTAACAATTTCTTCAATGGGAAAGTTCGGCTAAAAAAGCTACAAAATATCGAAAATAATGCGAGACCGTTAAATAGAGGTTTTTATCAAACCAATATGAATATTTTCTGCAACGATTTCAATCACCCTCTAAGATCCCAGTCCCTCTCGGTGGAAAAATGCACCTAGAACCATAAAATTTTCTGAAATTTTTTAAAATATCGAAAATGAGCCGGAACCCTTATATGGGGTTCAGTAATTCGACGATACAGAACATTTACACATATACCAGAGGTCTATGGCTTTATAAGCTATTCAACTAGAAATCTAAACCTAATATGGGATTTTTTTGGAAACCCCCGAAGGCCCTATTTATGAGCTCGCTTGGGTCGGACTTTATTTTGAATTTTTGAAACCCTTGAAGGGCAAGATTTTAAAACATCCGTTTTCTTTTGAGAAATTTGAGAAAATGTCGAACAGATTTAGATTTTATTATACCCTTCACCACACTGTGGTACAGGGTATAATGGTTTGTGCATATGTTTGTAACAGGCAAAAGGAAACGAGATATACGCATGGTTCCTTTTGAGAATACGCATAGAATCACTTCTTAAGTCGATTTATGCATGTCCGTCCGTCTATCCATGTTAAATTGTAAACATAGTACAGGTCGCATTTATGATTCGAAATGGATGAAATTTTGCACAGCTCATTTATTGGGCCCAAGGACGAACCCCATTGAAATTTGGAAAAATCGGTTAAGATTTAGATATAGTTCTCATATATATTTTCGTCCGATTTAATGTAAATGGTGCACCAAAGTCCCTATATATCTCTCAATTTGCACGAAATTTGGCACAGCATATTGAATTAGGTCTAGAATGATGTGTGTTAAGTTTCCCTAAAGTCGGTTCAGATTTAAATATAGCTCCCATATATAGTTTCGCCCGATTTAATGTATTTGGTGCACCAAAGTCCCTATATATCTTTCACTTTGCATGAAATTTGGCACAGCGTAATGAATTAGGTATAGAATGATTTGTGTTAAGTTTCCTGAAATCGGTTCAGATTTAGATATAGCTTCTATATCTGACCAAATGAAAAATTTAGTATCGGTTGCAGAATGGCAAAAACTGAATTTTTTAAGCAGGGAATTCAGCGGATTGGATTTTTAAACGAATGTTTTTAGAGGTAGCCAATATCTTGGAAGAGAGCATTTTATTGGAAATACCCCCCTTAGAGGGTATTCAAAATTCCACAACCTTAGAGATTCTCCAGAGATCAACCAAAAAGTCCTTATTGGCTTCTCGAATTTTGCGTAGATTAATGCCAACCTCCAAGAACTTCAAATTAAAAAAAATTACTGTCACTTCAATGAGAATGTCCGCTAAAGATTTAAAAATACCGAAAATGAGATGTCAGAACCTGGGCCTATATTTATAATTTTCTTTCGAGAACTGCGTAATGGCATATTACAGTCACTTCGTTGGCAAAATTCAACTAAATATCGAAAATTAGGTCCTCACATATATAGGGCTATAGCAATTATTCTTTGGAAAGATTTATGTCAACATCCAAGAACTCGGAATGTCAAATAACCGCCACTTCTGTGAGAATGTTCGGATAAAACCTGGGAAGTACCCAAAATGTGGTAAGACCTTCTTTAGTCCTATGCCAGAACCTTAGTCCTATGTTAGTACCTGGGCCATATTGATATTTTTCTGAATACATATATGTCACCTTTAAATACCCGAAATGCCGATTTAATGCGACTAAAAGCCTTAAAACTATCGGAACGAGGGCGAAACTTGAATATGAAGGCCATAACAGTACGTGGACCGATATTGAATATTTTCTGTAGAAATGTCTATCAGCCTCTGAATGCTTCGGAGAACTAAACTAGAGGTACTTCGTTCTGAAAATGTGGATAAAGCTGCATGAGGGTTATGTCAAAACATGGACCTACATCGAAAATTTTCTGTATACTGAGAATGCAAACTAAAACCACTTCGGTTGGAAAAATACTCCCAGAACCATAAAAATCTCTGAAAATCTCCAATATACCAAAATGAGGCGGACCCGTATGACGGATTATCAAAACGTAGACCCATACACATCCACACATACCAAAGGTTTAAGAGCAATACGATGTTAGTACCATCCAATGGAAAATCTAAACCTACTTCAGGAATTTTTTGAAACCTCCTTTGGAAGGATAATTTTTTTTTTTAAGTTCGTCTGCGTCGGACATTGTTATGCATTTTGGAAGCTCTTGATCCAAAAATTCTGATTTTTTTGGAAACTTGAGAAAAGGTCTGGCAGATTTAGAAATTTGTTGAACCCCATAGAAGGTTAAATGGTTTAAGCTCACAGAATCGACTTCCATCCTGTACTTATTTAATTGAAGCCCCTTAAGAGGATTTATAAGTAGATTTAGAAACCTCCACAAGGTAATTTAGCCCTACCAATTGTGTAGTGAATTCGGAAGCGTCAAAAAGGCGGCTTTAAAAATACATTTTCTGAAAAAATTGAAGGCCTTTTAAATGAAAACATTTTTAGAAAACCCCCCCCACCCCCCTCAAATGAAGTATGGGAGGGTAGAGGCTTATGCATGGGTCGCTCTTCAAGGTCTCCATTTTTGTAATTATTCATAACATCGAATGTTAGATTACCTTGTTTTAGTTCCAACTAAAATCTGATTATAAATCCTCTTCAGAGAGCTTCAATAGAATTGTTCGGAATGGAAGTCTCAAGGACCACTTCTAAGTTTTTAAATCCCCAACTTCCTTGAGGATATTTCCCCATATTCTACTACGATTTTTTGATATCGAATTTTTGGAATGCTCTTTAGAAGTGATGTGTTTATATCAAATGTTCGAAAAATGTTTTTGTGTGCCTTTGACGGATTCTATTAGGAATCTGAAATGAAATGTTCGAATTTTTGAACTCTTCCAATGTGTCTTTAAACTTGAATTTTACTAACAAATGGTCGACAAATTTTTTGAATACCTCGAAAAGATATCTAAAGGTGAAGATTATTTCACTTTGTCCCTTAAATGTGACCGTTTCAACCCGCTCCTAAGGTAACTCTAAATCTGAAATTATTTACTAAATATATTCCTCTCCAATATATTTTATTTTAATTTAAAAAAAATCGTGACCTCCTCTTACCTGCAATGTCTGTGAACATCCAAAAACCTTATCGCATATCCGACATTTATAGCTAATTTCCTCTGAATTCCGACTTTCAAATAACGTTGACATAGATCCTCCTGCTCCGGTGGCACCCTTTCCTGTAGTCAAATGGATATTTGTCACCGATGTCAATGAAATATTTGTCGAAGCCGCCGCCGATAGCATTACATCCTTTTGTATTTTCGAATGATAAGAGCTGGTGGAGCTGATGGTTGAGGCTGTGGGTGACAATATTGGGCTCTTATACGAATAACCACCAGTGGCAGAATTTGGTGTTTTATAATAGTTCTCCAAACATTCCGAACAATCGAGGCGAGAGCAGATATATTTGCTTGTGGTTGGTGTGGAGGTTGATGATGATGGTGCGGATGTTTGGCATTGCGGTGCGGTGGGTGTGGGTGGTGTTAGGGGGGTGTGTGTGGGATTTTGTTTGTTGCTGTTCTGGTTGTTGTTGTTGTTCAGAACATAGGGTGCAAAGTAACGCTTTTGATAGGACGAGGTTGCTGGTCCAGGTGCACTGCGGGGTAGGGGTAATTGCTGGTATAAACCCGCCATTGCTGCGGTTGTTGTAGCTCCACTAAACATCTGCGGCAAAAATTGGGCATAGAATTTCTGGGCCGCCATCGCTGCCAAAATGTTGGGATGTATGGCGGGGTAGGTAAAACCTGCATCAGGTGTGGTGTAGGGGAATTCCAAGGCAGGGTTGGAAGATGGTATTGTTGATGTTCCCGTTTTCGTTTTTGATAAATCCAAAATATCTGCCGCTACAGGGTATTGGGCCTTTGTGGCCACCGGTGCATAGAGTTTGGGACTGGTGGGTGGTGTATCCTGTGTTATGGAACTGCTGGAGGTACGTGGCGATTGTGAGGGTTTACATTTGTCCGGTGAATCTCCTAATATCCGTTGTATACTAAAATCTGTAACATTCAGACCGACGGCGCCAGCAGCAGCCGGCTCAGCATCGGCTGGCTGGGTATCCCGACGTTTGTTTGTTGGTTCGGTTTCGGATTTTTGATAGGCCGACATTTCGATTTGTTGTAAACGTTGCAATAGCGATTGTTTGTAACCCATTCTCAGCTCATGCATAGTATGAGGTGAGGGAAGCACTTTGTAGACACTTTCACAATATTTTTCCGAACTTATTTTTTCTTTTAATATTTTTACAGATCGGGTTCTATTTTATTTAAAAAATATATTCTTTTTAATTTTGTTGTTTTAATTTTTTGTTGTAATTTTTTTTCACTTCAACCCGTCACACGTTCAGCCGTTGCTATGTCGTTACGGTTCCGCATCAAATCACGTTATGATCCCTTGGAGCATTGTTATGACACTTACATCCATGCCAGTCACAGCTGGACAACAAATATCACAAACAGCTCAGCGAAGCCAGTTGTTGTTGTCGTCATTTCAAGTCCAGCTTCTCTTCTCCAGACACACACACCACCACTCACACAGGTGAGCATTGAACCAACCCATTCAACCATCCGATCATTTAGCTCAAAAACCAATGGCCAAGTGTTATACATGCTGGCTGTAGTTGTTGTTATTGTTCCGTTCATGCCATGTTTAAACTCTCAGCCTCTCTGAATGATGTTGGCCACAAACTCACCCCGAAAAAAAATTAAATGTGCCGAAGTAGGCGTTATCTTAATTGGCCAATAAGAAAAGACCACAAAATTTCGAGCCACTTATCTTGGGAGACCATACAAAAAGACAAACACACACAGACACACAGGGGACAGGTGTATTTATTTGGCAGATTATTGTGGTCAACAGGTGGAAAAAAACAGAGGGAGAGAGGTCGATTCTGGTCAGATTCTCTCTCCGAATATCAAACGTGCTACTAAATTCGATTAGTAGGCAGCTACTAAACGGTAGCAGTTTTGCAGGGGAAGGGGTTAAATTTTAGTAATTAAGACATGAAATTATTGTAGGGCTCTATAAGAGGCGTGGATTTTTTAAACGAATATTTTTTTCAGGGCATCTATAAGAGGCGTGGATTTTTTAAACGAATATTTTTTCAGGACATCTATAAGAGGCGTGGATTTTTTAAACGAATATTTTTTGGGTCTCTATAAGAGGCGTGGATTTTTAAACGAATATTTTTTGGGTCTCTATAAGAGGCGTGGATTTTTAAAGGAATATTTTTTGCGTCTCTATAAGAGGCGTCGATTTTTAAACGAATATTTTTTCAGGACATCTATAAGAGGCGTGGATTTTTAAACGAATATTTTTTCAGGACATCTATAAGATTCGTAGATTTTTTAAACGAATATTTTTTCAGGACATCTATAAGATTCGTAGATTTTTTAAACGAATATTTTTTGGGTCTCTATAAGAAGCGTGGATTTTTAAACGAATATTTTTTCAGGACATCTATAAGATTCGTAGATTTTTTAAACGAATATTTTTTCAGGACATCTATAAGATTCGTAGATTTTTTAAACGAATATTTTTTGCGTCTCTATAAGAGGCGTCGATTTTTAAACGAATATTTTTTGGGTCTCTATAAGAGGCGTGGATTTTTAAACGAATATTTTTTCAGGACATCTATAAGATTCGTAGATTTTTTAAACGAATATTTTTTCAGGACATCTATAAGATTCGTAGATTTTTTAAACGAATATTTTTTGGGTCTCTATAAGAAGCGTGGATTTTTAAACGAATATTTTTTCAGGACATCTATAAGATTCGTAGATTTTTTAAACGAATATTTTTTCAGGACATCTATAAGATTCGTAGATTTTTTAAACGAATATTTTTTGGGTCTCTATAAGAAGCGTGGATTTTTAAACGAATATTTTTTGGGTCTCTATAAGAGGCGTGGATTTTTAAACGAATATTTTTTCAGGACATCTATAAGAGGCGTGGTTTTTTTAAACGAATATTTTTACAGGACATATATAAGAGGCGTGGTTTTTTTAAACGAATATTTTTTGGGGCTCTATAAGAGGCTTGGATTTTTAAACGAATATTTTTTGGGGCTCTATAAGAGGCGTGGATTTTTAAACGAATATCTTTAGGGCATCTATAATGAGAATTCAATCGGATCAGATCGATAATTATGGCGAGCCTAAAATGTCTACCCCTTTATTCAGTTGTAATTGTGGCCCTGAAATACTGAAATACTGATCAAATTGGCATACATGCTGTTGCATACAGGGAGTGCCTGAATGAATATCAGGCGATGATGGAGGCTGCTAAAGAGAACCAATGGCAATCTTTTGTCAGCCACTGGGGTCAGATGTACCGCATCTGCAGGTCGAAGCAGACCCTTGATGTCTCTGGCATCAAGGTGAATGGCCGAGTCATCACTACTTGGAGTGAGTGCATACTCGGTCTGATGTCCTCTTTCTTTCCATGGTTGGAGCAGGAGTTGCATTCTCCACAGGAGGGTGCGGCTGTTGCCCCTGACTTGGAAAGAAACGAGATTGAACAGGCCGTGGCTCTTGTGCGATGCAATAAGTCACCTGGGATTGGACCGTTTTACTGGAGAGATGTGTAAAAGCATCTGGAAGGTCATTCCAGAATTCCTAGAGGCTCTGCTTGCCAAGTGTGTTCGTTTGGACATTTTCTCGAAGGTGTGGAAATCTGCGAAGGTCATCGTGCTACTGAAGTCGCCTGATAAGGTCAGGAGTGATCCTCGATCTTATCGGGGCATGGAGCAGTTTTCCGACGTCGAAGGGCGTTGGACTAGATACGTAGTGGAGACACATGAGTGTCTGGAGGGTCACTAGTTCCCTTGTCAGAATTGACGAACAAACAGTGGTTTCTGCCTGACGATTCGGATTGCCCCTTAGGGTGCAATGTGGTGGCTGTTGGTTAGCCCAAAGATTTCGCGGGAAGAGCTTCGGCTCGATGTGGAGTCGCATTATCAACCGGGTGCCTGACCCATAGAAAGGCAGAGGTTTAGGTAGTCCTCGACTCCTCACCAAGGAGGAAGTGAAGCTTTGCGGCGGATCTTCGAATTGGTACCTGCGGATCAGCTTCAGAGTGCTCGTTGAGTTAAAGCCGTTAATGCGGGAATCATGTAAAACCCACAGGATTCATCACCCGATGAAATAGTGACAAACAAATGGGTTAGTTGCCCACACCCGGAAAACCACTCCTACTATGAAAAAGCAAAGAAAAAGAAAACCAAACCCCCTAATGTTGACGACCCCCGTAAACGTATAAAGGACCACTTGAATGTGCGCACCTTGTACAGAACAGGCGCAGTTTTCGCTTTGGCGGATGTACTCAAGAAGTACAAAGCCGATATTATTGCCTTACAGGAAATACGGTGGAAAGGGACAGGCGTAAATAAATCAGACGATTACGCACTGTATTATAGCTGTCATGAAACGAGACATGAATTTGACTGCAGATTTTGGTTAACAGGAGAATAAAAGACCTCGTCTCCAGATTCACTCTAGTAGTTGGGCGAATTGCTATAATCCGTATAAAAGCGAAGTTCCGACCGAAGATAAAGATAAACAGACCAAAGACACCTTTTACGAGCGCCTAGAAACAGCATATGATCGTTTCCCTGACCATGACATTAAAATTCTGCTAGGAGATTTTAATGCAAAAATCGGAAGGGAAATACACAAGGCCACTTGGATTTCTCCCGATCGAAGAACGAGAAATCAAATCGATCAAGTTGTGATAGACGGAAGGCATTCATCCAGTGTTTTAGACGTCCGATCGATACGGGGAGCGAATATCCATTCGGACCAATATCTTGTGGCAGCCAAGATACGCACACGTCTAACACCGAAATTTGACGTCGAAAAGCTGCAAATACAACAGATAGCCTACTTTGCTCAACTTACCCACCTGCTTGACGAAAACACTCTTTGTCCCGATAATAATATAGAAGCAGCAATACTGCAGCAAAAGCAACACTTGGGTACCAAAGACCACCATCAAAAAACCCATGGTACGATCAGGAGTGTCGTAATGCTACTGATATGAAAAACGCAAAGTATAGGGCAACCCTGCGGACAGTAGCAACGCGTAATGCGATGGAGAACTATCAGAAAAAAAGGAGCGAGGAGAAACTTATTTTCAGAAAAAAGAAGAAAGAGCAAGAAAAACGTGAGCACAGCGAGATATACAGGAGTCAGAATGAAGTCCGAAAATTCTACCAACGGGTAAAACACCAAACCGAAGGCTTTGGTGCAGGCACATCCTCCTGTAAAGGTAGAGAAGGAAATCTGGTGAGGATCTGAAAGGAACATTTTGAGAAATTTCTGGTATCAAATAGTGGCGGTGAAGAAGATACCCCAGAACCAATAAGAGATGATGGTATAGAGTGTACACCACCTAGCCAAGATGAGGTCATAAAAGCAATTAATCGGCTCAAGAACAATAAAGCAGCAGGAGCCGATGGGTTACCAGTCGAACTATTCAAGACTGGTAGTCTGATGCTGATTAGGAGCATGCACCATCTGATTAGTACAATTTGGAGGAATTCATGCCTAATGATTGGAACCTCAGCATCCTGTGTCCCGTGCACAAAAAAGTAGACAATACGATATGTGCCAGCTATAGAGGAATAAGCCTTCTTCCCATAGCATATAAAGTCCTACCCTGTGTGCTGTGTAAACGACTGAAGCCAATGGCCAATGACATTATTGGACCACACCAATGCGACTTCACAACTGGCAAATCCACCATAGACCAGATTTTCACTCTGCTCCAAATCCTGGAAAAAACCCACGAAAAACATATCGACACATTCCACCTATTCGTCGACTATAAAGCCGCATTCGACAGCCCTATCCGTTCAGAGGTGTTTAAAGCCATGTCTACGTTCGGCATTCCTGCAAAATTAATTCGGCTATGCAGGATAACTTTAACAGGCAAAAGATCAGCTGTTAAAGTCGGAAAGGACCTCTCGGAGCCCTTTAATACCGAACGAAGATTCAGACAAGGTGATAGTTTGTCGTGTGACCTTTTTAACATCCTACTGCAGGGGTCATACGAGAGGCAAAAGTGAACAGAAATGGCACTCTGTACACCAAACCACACATGTTACTCGCCTACGCCGATGACATCGACATAATGGGTAGAACACTGAGAGCGGTAACAGCCACCTTTGAAC